TCATGCACCGGCACTGGTACAAACACCGCGACCTCAAGACGTGGAACCTGCTCTACAACCACCAGGTGAGGGGGGGGGGCTCCCTTGCCAACGCCACACGACCGCAAAACAGCTGCTGCGGTGCGGCAGTCGCGCGTACCGTGGGCTAAGGGAAGGAACGGGTATATACATGGCAGGGTTCAGAACTGCTGTAAGCACCTGGAAGGTAAAGGAAAATGCATCTAGTGTGCTACTAAATATGTGTTGTGTTTGTGTGTGTGTGTTTTGTGTTGTACAAATGTGTTGCGCGAGTGTTTTTTTGTTTTGATTTGAGTCGGGACGTATGTGTAACGAGAAGAGATCGTGGTTTAGGGCCTCGGCTCGAGTACGTTCGAACTCTCCTGCGCATGATTTCCGGTTGAGGGGTGGCTGTGTCCGGGAGTTTTCCGAAGCAGTTGGTCGGTCTCGAATCTGGTCTATACCTAAGTACTTGGCCCTGTTGCAGGCAGCACTTGCCGCCTCTCTTTTTCTCTCATGTGTGTTGCACGCATGTCGGCCGTTTTGCACGGTGAGTGTGTTGGCATGCGTACACCGTAGACAAGGTGGCGGATAGGAAGCGGAATTCTCCTGGCTGGGAAGAGAAAGGAAGCCGACCTATTCGACTCCCCGATAACCCGCAGAGCGGAAGAGCAACACCGTCCGGCACAGATCTATTTCGGCCCTTCCGTTTACTGCACAGTAGCACTTGTCCATAGCCCTACTCCCCTCGATGTGGTCACATCCTCTGCGTTTTTGTCTAATTTCTTTGTGCGTGTCGTTGGCTGCTGCTGCTGCTGCTGCTTCTGTGAACGTAGGGCAAGCTGGCTATCTGCGACTTCGGTCTGGCGAGAAAGTACGAGGAACCCATCCGGCCGTACACTACCCCCGTCGTGACACAGTGGTACCGGTGCCCTGAGCTCCTCCTCGGTGAGTGTTGACGCGGAAGGCAGGTGAGTTTTGACGGGATGGTGGCGATTTTTGACGGGATGGTCGAGAGTGTTTACGGAAAGCCCGCGAGTTTGACGCGGAAGGCCGGTGGGTTTTGACGGAAGGATGGCGACCGCTTTTTGAGTCAGCTGGCGAAGATTGACGTCGAGGGCTAGTGAAAGCTGGAAAAGAACGTGTCCCACCTGGTACAAGATTATTTGCTGCAACGAGTTTTTTTTTTTTTTTGGTACGCGTACATACAGCGTTTTGTTGCACGGGTTTTGTTTTCGACCACACCCGCAAGACGGGTGGAGTGGAGAAAACTCGTGTGTAGTCGTCGTCCATGATTCTAAAGCTATTGAGGTACGGTCTACCGTTCCAGACAAAAGATTGAATGGCAAACCCGTCGTACTTCAATTTACGGCAACCAACGTTGTAGACACGGCGACTAACGCAGCGGACGGTCGGTTGACACCGCTGTCTACTGCTGTCTGTCTGTCTGTCTGTCTGTCTGTCTGTCGCGCAGGCGAGAAGACCTACAGCACAGGCGTGGACACCTGGAGCGTGGGAACGATCTTCGGCGAGCTCGTGCTGGGGTCTCCCATGTTTCAGGTGCGGCGACGTGTTCGGGTGCATCGGGACGCACTGCTATACATTTGTTCCGTTTTTTGTGTGTCGAGTCGTTGTGATGGATGTCGATTGAAAACGAATGTGTTGATACCATTACCTTTGTCTTTCCTAGATGCCATCGCGATGGAGAGATTTTTTTCCTCAGCTGCGTGGGTGTTTCACGTGCTGGAATGAGTTTCTCTCGACCTTCGCTGGCGAGAGCGCTGCACGCACATACTGGCACCGTTTTTCTGCTAGAGCTGTTGTTTCAAGTGTCTTTTCCGCGCGTGCTAAATAGAATATTATTACTTCGGAAGTATGACGTTTTGGGGTCACCCTCGAGTCTAGCTTGTAGCGCGTATCGTTGGCATTCCTCCGCCCGGCGAGAGCCTGAGGTTCTCCACCCCTGCCTGGTGTTTTTGCCTGCGTGCTTACTTTGCCTCTTGTAGACCGGTGGAGCAGCTCTGCGACGGCCACAGCCTGTTGTAGGCGTGGCCGCTCGCCAACCCTATTTAGTTTTTTCGTGTGCTGCGCGTTGACGTCCATTGCCGAGATTTAACTTAACTTCATCCCTACATCCCCATGATCGATGACAGTGATGAGGCCGAGCAATCGTCCACGTCCATGACCAATGCGTCCGAGCAAAAGTAAAACGCTCCCCGTGATCGCATGCGTTCGTGCATAGTTGCCTTACCTCTCTTCCGCACCTCCTCCCCTCCCTCCACCGCCTGTTGTGGCCTGTATGCAGGGCAAGACGGAGATCGACCAGCTTAAGCTGATCTTCGGGGTGCTGGGATCCCCGACGGAGGATCGGTGGCCCGGGTGGACCAAGCTGCCTGGCGCGAAGAGCGTCGGCTGGCGTCAGGGCACGGGGAACCAGCTCCGAGCAACGTTTCCGACCAACGGCTTCAGGTTAGAACGGGCTTCTGTTGCCGCTGGTGCTTTTGTTGTGTTTGTGGAGTGCACAGCTCCGATCAACGTTTGCGACCGACGGCTCCAGGGGCTGGTGCTGCTGTTGTTGTGTTTGTCAAATGTGCAGCTCCAAGCAACGTTTGCGACCAACGACTTGAGGGGTTGCTGCTGCTGTTGGTCCTGGTGATGCTGTTGTTGTGTTTATCAAGTGCAGCTTCGAGCATCGTTTGGGATCGATGGCATGTCTGAACCATGAACTTCGTTCGCGGGAGGGGGGAGGGGGGGGGGGGGGGGGAGGGCAGGTTGCGCGGCGTCGTGGAGCAAGGTTTTACCCGTTATGCCAACACTTGATTAACACGCCAACACCAAACACTGAACCCGTCGGTCGCAAACGTTGCATAACCACGAGCAAGTATGCGGCCGCAATCTCTGGGGACCAACGTTGCCTGGTTATTTTTTCGTTGTCGTCGACATCTCCGCCTAGATGTACCCACCCTCCCGGTGGAGTAGGTCGAGCTGTGTAAGGTCGAGAACCCTCACTCCGCGCACAGGGTATGATCGCACCACGTCGTGTTAAATTAGTCATGCACTGTTTCTGAAAGTGAAAGCCCCAGAATATATATCCGTCATTCGCAGCAACCATCCGCATGCAAATGGGTAAGGGCAAGATGCCGAACACCCGTGTTGCGGAATGCAGCGCACCACCCCCCATGCGACTCGCCAATACCTCACCCGTCCCGGCTTTGCAGGGGTGCGCGGTCAATGGTCTAAGAACTAAGCACTACTTCGCGTTTGGTGATGTGAGAGCGTGGTCTGGTGAAAACCCGGCGTGCTCCGTCCCGGCTTTGCAGGGGTGCGCGGTCAATGGTCTAAGAACTAAGGCATGCAGATCATGAGTACGCCCCTCCCCCCGAAGCCAACCAAAATTTGCTCCACTTTTCTCTTGCCCTCCCCTCCGCCACACATGCACACCCTTTGCAGCGGGAAGCCGTCGATCAGCACCCAGGGCCTGGAGCTGATGAACGGCCTGCTGGCCCTCGACCCGCAGCAGCGCATGTCCGCGCACGACGCCCTCGAACACTGCTGGTTCACCACGGAGAGGCCGGCACCCACGCCCCTCGGAGACATGCCGCAGGTATGCATGATGGCAAGGGTTGTGTTCTGTACCAAGGGTCTGAAGGTAATGTTTCGGGTAAGGGTATTGGGGAAGTGTCACATGCCGCCGGTACGTATGATTGCAAGGGTTATGTTCTGTATGTTTCGAGTAGGGTATTGGGGGGAAAGTTTCACAGAAATCACGAGACAGAATTATCGGGTAGGGTTTGTGAAGGGCAGGGTATGGACGAAGTGTCACAGAACTCACAGACACAAGTAGGGGTTTTGGAAGTGGTATGTCACAGAACTCGACCAGGAGTATCTGTGGGACAGATGCCTGGAAGCATTCCACCGGTACACTTCTTTTGTGAGTGCCCTACAGAACAATCCCCTTGTAGTAGCGTGATTGCTGCATATACGTGCATGCCTATGTACCAACAACGTCGCTGCGGTGCCGTCCCGCGCCGTAGATGAGTAAATATGCCGGCCCAAGTTTGGTGGCGTAAAGATGGCGTTGTTGTTGCTGTGTCCTAGGCCTTGGGCCTTGCTTGTGTCGTACTACTGCTGTTGGCGCCAGGCGCCAAGTTTTGTAGGCCTGGGAGCGCTTGTGTCGAGCGCAGGGTGAGTGTCTTCGTCGTGTCCAACCTCGATCTCGCCGCCGCCGCCGCTGCCTCTTGTCCCGATTCGCGCTTGCGTGGCGGCAGGTGGACTCCAAGCTGGACAAGGACATCAACAACGCCCTGGCGAAGTGGTCCAAGGCGCAGATCGGCAAGCAGAGCATGAGAGGGGGCGTCTCCCCTCCCGCCCCGTCACGACAGCAACGGCCAGAAATTCGACCGAAGGGGGTATAGGCTAAGGCTAAAGGGTGGTAGTAGGGAAGATAATCGTTTGGCATGGCATCGGGTGGACGAGGGGTTAGCGTAGCCTCCGTGGTGTGGGTTTGGGCGTGACGCCGCGCTTTGGTAGTGGGGAAATCCACCGAATGGGAAGAAGTATGTACCTGCCGCAGCTTGCAAGCAGTTGGGCGCGATGGTGGCGATAACAAGTGTCCCTCACACGAAATGGTGTCTCAACCTGGATGGTAGAAAGTGGGGGGTGGGGGGTGACAGCACGAACGTTCGCGGCTCATCTCTGTGCGATTGAACTGGATGCTTGATCGAAAATATGAAGCACAGAAAATAGAGGGAAATAGGGATGAATCGTGGGTAATAAACCGTTTGCTGATGAATCAAACAAAAATGGGGCAAAAAACGTGTTTCTTTTTGTGTGTGTGAAGTATGGTGCATGCCGCCCTCCCGTCCGTTCGAGGGCCTGTGTGTGGCTCCCGGGAAGTTCGACAATGAGAAAAACGGAAGTTTGACGTCCTGGTACGGTTACGCCTCGCTCGCTTGCTTCTTCTGCGTTCGCGGTCTACGATTTGGAATGACTCGTGTGCGTGCATCTGCGCCAGCCAGCATGTCTCGAAAACAGCATGCTCATCTAAACAGACGTGTTTTTTCCCTAAAGCCAACGAGTGCAAAACACCGAGTAAGTCTCGGTGTGGGGTGTGGACTCTATCCTGGTGAAAATCTGCTCACCCATACATTGTTCGAGGGGGGGGGGGGGGGGGGGGGTACGTTCGTTTTCCACTTTGAATGAAAGGCCCCCCTAGCTTGCACCTCGCGTCGTTTCGCCTAAACAATTGTTAAGGGCCGCTTTACCTATCTGGCCTTTGCTCCCAAGAGATCGTGCCGGCTGAGTTGATAGAAATGGAGCAGACCCAGCGCACGTGACTGCTGTAGTCGTTATTTCATATGGTTTTCCCCGGAGGCTAGAGAGAGAGTTTGGCCAGGGGGGGGGGGGTGTACTCATAGTCGTGCATGCCGTAGTCATTAGACCATTGACCTCGCATCCCTACAAAGCCGGGACGGAGCACGCCGGGTTCTCACCGGACCAGGCTCTTCGGCAGGGGGGGGGGGGCTTGGCTTGTATCCGGCGAAAAAGTTTTCACTTCGGGCTTTAGAGCTGGTTGCTTTCACACGGCGGGCGGGCCGTTACCACATGCGCGGTACACGTGTTCACATCGATGTTGGGCCGCTCACTGCGCGTTAGTGGCAAAGGGCAAGCCGGGCTATTCAGCTGGTTTCGACAGCCCCCGCAGTGGTCGACGAGCAGTTGTTGTTGACGTCGGTGTTTTCCATCTTTTGAAAAAATGTCTTCGGTTTGTTCCGGGCGAGCGAATTGCCCCCCCTCTCCCCCCCGCCGCCGCCGCCTTTTTTGTTTTGGTGCTTGGCGCGCTCACAAGATGAGAGATTTGAAAGAATGGGTTTCAGTTTTGGGTAGGCTGTACTCTAGCGCTCCGTCTGCCGAAACCGAACCTGTTGTGTCTTTAATGTCTTTTGAGCGTTGTGACTGGCTGGCTGTGCTCCCCTTCCCCGAAAGTATATTTGAAAATGAAAAAAAGTAATATTGTGAGAAGGAAAAAACGTCGATGCGGCAGGGCGGCCTCACGAAGAATACAAGCAACAAATGGGAAACATGCGGCCGGCTGGGTAGAGTAGGTTGTACAACGGGCGCATTTTCAGTTGACTTGGGAGGAGGAAGTACGTTCTCGACTGGTTCAGTAAATGCGGTCATCCCCGCTTTTGCTTGCGGTTCACATGTCTGGAGGAGTTGGTTTTTCAGGACACCACGGCCCGCAGTTGTGAACCGGCCGGAAGGCGTTGATTGGCCGATTCCCAACGACTCTGGCTTGTCTTTCAGCTCTGCTCTTTTTGTCGTCACCGCTGTACCAGCGGGCAAGGATTGCGATTGATTTCGCGATTGATTCCCCGCGTCGGCCAAGTGTTGTTGCGGTTCGTTCACCATCGATTCCCGCGACGCCAAGCAAAGCGCTTGAAGTGTTTTATCTTCTCCGAAGCCGATGATCTCGTTCGACACCGAAATAATAAGTATTGTTTGTGTATTTTGTGTGTGTGCGTGAAAAAAAACGCGCACCCGCGCGTGTGGGGTTGACCCTCCCATCGTTTAGCTTCGTTTTCTGAGTTCGCGCCTCCGGTGGTTTGGTGCTGTTATCTTTTTTCGTGTGCCGTGTGACTGTCTGTCGTCGTGTGTGTGTTGATTTGTTATTTTGATTCGTATTGTGTTTTGCTTTTTTTAGCCAGGTCCGGATTGGTAAGACATATGGGCAGAGCCGTGCTAGCTTGGAATGAATACTGCTGGTGGGTGCGTTTTTTCTCTCTTCATGTTTTGTTTTCGAAAAAAAAATAATGATCGCCGAGCGAGGTCGATGTCAAAACTAGCCGACGAGAATGGGGGGTGGGGGGTCGTAGAAAAATATATATCCCAAGTCTGCAACAACAAAAAGAAAACGGGGAATACTAGCATACGAAACCAAATTGTTCTGCGGAAGAAATGTAACACGCGACAATATGGTCTGTGCCTTGAAAACAAGCTCTCGAGAGAAGTATTTATTAGCTTAACCGAGTTTTTTTTTGTTGCTGTTGTTTTGTCGCGAAGAATAACGGAGAAGAACACGCCAGGGCTCTGCTGCTGTGTTTGTGGTGTGAATTGAACTCTGGGGAAAATGTGTGGTGTGTGTCGCTTGAAAGTTATCTCCCGGTTTTTTCACTTCATTGCTAGACGTCCACAGCAGGAACCTACGTAGTTGACAGGCAGGCAGGCAGGTACGTACGCCTGCTCCCCCCCCAAAAAAAAGCGTCAACCAAAAGTCGTATACGTGTGAAGTGGGGCGGCATCATATTGACAACCCATTAATTTTCGCTTGTTTTGCCCTTTTGAGGGTTGGTGAAGGCGTGCTCTTTGGCCGCTACTACTCTAAATATGTCGCTAGCTAGCGTCCACTGCTCGTTGCATTTTTGGGTGTTACTTGTTGGCCGTATGGAGCCTGGTTTCGGCAGGGGCCCCGCAGACAGACTGCCTGCCGCCGAAGTTCATCAGGCGGTGGAGGACAGAGAGAGATGGGTGCAATAAGCACTGACTGGCTGCTGTCGCTGCGCCCGCCCCTGCGGCCACCTGTTGTTTTTCTAGTTTCGGGACGTGTTCTAGTATTATACCGTTTTTTATGGTAGTAGACAGGCAGCTCAGGAGGTGGTGGGCGAAAGAGAGAGGATAGAACAGTTGCCCTTCTTTTGTTTGAATGAAAAGTTTTCTCTGAAAGAGATCGGGGTAGTAGGTAGTGTACCCAACGAGGGAGGACAACCATGATGTACCATGTTCGGAGCGCCAAACTCCAGGTTTTGTGTTGGATGACCCTCCCGGCTCCACCCTCCCGCCGCAGCGATTCATTCATCCGGTCGTTTTCGTTCCGATTCTTCTTGTGGGGATGGATGATCCAGGTTGGCCTGACTTTTGCAGTACTACCGCTGCTGCTCTCGATTATAATCAAGATAATTCATCCGCGCTATTTTTTTTCTCTTTGTTGTTGAATCACGAAACAGCAGTCAGTGTGTCGAATTCTTCTTACTTGTTGCATCCTGCTTTGCTGGGCGGCGGAGTCGGGGTAGTTGTGGATCGGTGCAATTTATTTTGCCACCAGGGGGGGGTCACAGAAGAATAGATCTGCATTGGGATGATGGGGGTGTGTGTGGAAAAGGCGAGGCGAACGAGGTGTCATAAGAAATGAATGGTAAAGGTGTGCACACGACACGTGGTATAAGTATTGCTAGAAGAGAAAGGCAGGAGAGCCCTTTTCGCTGATAGGGCTTTCTTGATCGAAATCCAAAAAGACTATAAACGAAAAGGCTGAAACATGCAACACGTGGAAACAGGTCGAAAATGGAAAAACAAAAAAAATATTATTTCTTTTATGCGTATAGTGACCGTAGTGTGTGGTTGATGACGCGGATTGCATAACGATGTGGCAGGCGGGGTTGGTTCCGAAGAATGATCGATCGAATGTGTTTCCTTCTTGCATGGTGAATAAAGGCTCTTGCAGACGGAATACCTACTATTAGCTAGCCTGACCACAGCAGGCACCACATCACAACGGTTACTACTATCTTTTTCCAGTTGACGACTGCCTTGTGCATCCACGGAGGAGCAACAAACAAACTCTCTGTTGCCTGGAAAGGCATGGATCACTCATGCCAGTTTGTGTTGAACACCTCATCCTGAAGTGGAACCGATCGATGTGTCTCCGTCAAGGCCTCAGGGCAGGTCAGTAAAACATGCAAGCCTGGTCGGAAATATTTTTTTTCGGCTTCCTCCAGCAGAGCTGAAAAGCGATCGCCCCCAAGTTGTTGGCAGCATGAGAAACCACCATTTATTTACCGTTCACCATGCACATCCACTGACTGTGAGTGGCAGTACGTGTTGTTGTTGTTGTTGTTGTTGTTGTATTCATATTAAACCGTTCCCGTCCACTCGGTACATTCCAACGCCCGCACCGGTCCAGCTGACTGCGGAAGGACGCCTTCCATGGGGGCCAACCGCCGACAAACGATACGAACTTCATATAGATAGAAAAATGAACGAAGGACCCAGAGAAACTAACGCACCGCAGACACGAACAGTTTTTTCTGTGACAGGATTAATATTCGAGCGAAAGAGGAGAGACCCTCAGGCGAGTCCATGCCCTTGCTGTGCAAGCAAGCGTCTCACTGCTGTCAGGTCGGGGCCAAGTGATTCTTACTGGAAAGAAGCGCACAACAATCCCACGGGAAAAAAAGGGACAGAGTCACACATACATACAGCTATTTCCGTGCCCCGAGGTAAAGTAAGTAACATCCCACCTTATCACCTACCACCACATGGAAGATGAAACAAACAAGCAAAAAAATACAAGCTGAGAAATAGAAACAATAGGTTGGGGTGAGGGTTGAAGTCTAAACCCCATCTCGCTCACTAAACTCCCATTCAGGACGAAAAACACTAAAACACATGCATGCTCAACACCACGACTCTACAGCAGTAAACAACCCCCCTCCCATCCAGGATGCTCAAGAACCACGACTCTAATTTACAGCAGCAAATAACTACGCTCCCATCCAGGATGTTCAAATACCACGACTCTACAGCAGTAAATAACGCTACGAAATACATTGCGACATCACAACAGGAGCTCACGCCACAAGAGGAGTCAACGCCACTCCCCCACTTTTGTGAAAAAAACACATCATCAGGAGAAAAAAAATTCTACGCCGGCGACCTCGACGCGTACAATTTAAAGTGAAAAAACTATTGCGGAATGTGGATGCGTTACTAATAATAGCCCTCCTGGCCACGTTTATTTCTTGTGGATCGAGTGGACCGGTGTGTGGCCCTGTTTCAGCCCAAACCAAACAGCGCTGCGAGGCATTTGATGTCCCCGCACGCTGCCGCTTCGGTCTGGTTGATTTGGGCTAATAGCGGGAAAAAACACCATGTGTCTAATGGCAGTATATAGTACTACTTTACACGTTTACATTGGCCCAACAAGCTCTTGACTACGGTAGTGGTCCCGATGTAGGGGCATGTAGGGGCAAGAGCAAAATATACCACTGTTCAGGGCAGTGCCACCATTCGATGCATCGTGTTCATGTACCTGTTGAGATTACGACAAGATTTCACTTTTCAGGGTTCCACTATATCGGGACCACTACTGCACCGACAACAGCACTATTGTTTCACACGCTTATTGGCCCAACAAGTTCCTGGATTTCCTCGGGCGCCAGGCTTCCAAAGGCGGCCAGCACCTCCCCCACCACCCCCGACGAGACCAGGAGGAAGGCCGACGCCAGGCTCACCGCCCCGGCCCGGTAGGACAGGAGAACACTCTGCACCTGCCAGGCCAGGTCGAAGATCGGGCTCTTGGACATGAACCTCTTGTGCACCGCGTCCCGCGCCTTGGAACAGCACCCCCGGCGGGCAGCGGGCGGCCGAGAAGAACTCGACGACGACGACGACGACGATGAGCAGCACGCGAACATGAGCGTGACGAACGAGAGGGCCAGCATCCCGGTCCCGAACACGGCCATCAGGGCGCCGGAAATCGTCAGGTAGGACTCCAGCCCGTCGCCGCCGGTGCCGCCGCCGCAGGGGGCGTTGTCCCCGTACATGATGCTCACGTAGCCACCCGCCCAGTAGACCAGCCCCCAGGAGAAGGGCGCCACGAAGTGCACAAGGCACGTGCCGCCGCAGTGCCGCATGTCCCCCGGCGGGATCTTGTGGGTGGACTTGATGTCCAGCGGGGAGCGGTACACCAGGGAGAGCAGGACGGCGGAGATGAAGTCCACGAGGAGGCCGAGCACCAGGGTGAACATGAGGCCCCCGTACGCCCGGGACGCGTTCTCCTCCGGCGTGTCGTCATCGTCCTCGTCCAGGTTCTCCTCGAAGCACACGTTCAGCTCCCCGATCTCCGACGCGACCACCGCCAAGGAGATCAGGTTCCCTAGGACAAACATGGCCCACTTCCACTTCCTCGACTCGCGCGCCACCTCGGTGGCGGCCTCCTCCTTCTTCTTCTTCGTACCTCGCCGGCTACCGCTCGGGTCGTCGCTGCTGCTGTCCGCGCCGGGGGCGGCAGGAAAGTAGCCGCGGTGCTGGACGTTGATGCCCGGGTAGGCGGGGACGGTGGTGGTGGTTGCGGCCTGGTAGGCAGGAGGGCAGGGGGCACCGTTCTGTGCGTTGAGGCCAGGGTATCCGAGCACGGTGGTGGTTGCGGCCTGGTAGGCAGGAGGACGGGGGGCACCGTGCTGTGCGTTGAGGCCAGGGTATGCCGGGGCCCCGCCGTGAGGCGGCGCGGTTGCGGCTGCGCCCTGGGTAACAGCAGAGTAGGCAGGAGGAGGAGGACGGGCGCCGTTGGAGCTGGGGTGGGCCGGGGGGGCAGAAGGAGGATATGCGGTCGAACCCCGGTATGGGTAGGCAGGAGGAGGCTCAGGAGCTTGCTGTCGGGCCCGGTCCACATGCGGTGCTCCAACACTGCTACCGCCGCCGCCGACGAACTCGCCTCCTGCGCTTGCCGGGTTTGTGTACTGCCGAAGCAAAAAAAAAAAAAGGATCAAGAGGACGACAGCAAAAAGACATGAATTCAATCAAAAGCAGTTTGACGAAAAACATGGGGGTAAATAGACGTTTGCGTCTATCTCTACCATCGCACGGACCTCCCAGCGAAGAAACCGAAACGTTAGTGGTCACGCTCTCACATCGTCATGTACCAAAATTTCCACGATGATATCATCACCGTAAGCACTTCTGCTGCGCCAACACGGTTGCGACCGTCATTCGACGACCGAGACGGATCGTCTGCCGTACGGCAAACGCAAAAGAACAATCAAGCTTTGTGCAATAGCTCCGTTCTCCAAGACCTTTGTGGCCAAGAAGATAACAACGCTTTCTGCACAGAAGACGAAAACACTCACCGTGACGTAGTACACCGTAGGTTGGCCCGCCATCTGTACCGACCCAAAGAAGAAGGGAGCCAAGCGGTAGAGGTGCAGGGCCTAGACTAAGATTGTCTTGTGCGAAGGGGAGCGGGCAGGTCTTCTCCTTCCCCGTGCTGGACGAGCCCGCCTCTTGTCACGAAGTTGCTTTCTGTCTTGTTAATGTACAAGCGAGTCCCACCTTTAAATCAGCAAAGACGGAGAAGATTTACGCAGGGGTTGGACTACGAAAATAGTTACAAGCGCCCATGGCGAAGGTGACTGTTCTGGAATCCGAAAACATCGTTGTTCACCGTTCGAAGGGCGGCCTACATAGTATTCACAATCCACCCTTCCATCTCGTTTCATCAAGGGGGGTGGGGGAGGGGGTGTACTCATAGTCGTGCATGCCGCAGTCGTTAGACCATTGACCTTGCATCCCTACAAAGCCGGGACGGAGCACGCCGGGTTCTCACCGGACCAGGTACCACATCACGGGGGGGG